GTCCATAATCCATTCTAAGCATACAGTCCTGCTGTATGAATTATGCCTTGCACACCGCACCTCGACACCGCACCTTGACGAGGTGTTAGGAGTTATGCACGCGGTAATATGATGTCATGCAAGTATGAAAGCGTCATGTATCATGGTCGCAAGAGGCTTCGCTGCATTGCGCTGCATCGTTAGGTACGGAACCACCGCTGACGGAACTGTCCTGACTCGTTGCGAGCATGCCACTACATAACGGCGCTTTCAGACATATGCCGAAACTTGAGGGCCACCAGCGTTCCGGATGTTAGCGCCTCGGTGAGTCAGGTGATCTCAGATCAGATGCAAGGAGGGCGGTGGAGAAGTCCTGCCGGCGTGTGCGTGTCTGACCGCTGCGTTGGTCATGGGCTTCAGTATGGCGCTGGCAGCATTGCATCATCTCTGTACATCACAACACCATGATGTGACTTCACATCCCTGACCAAACTCAACTGCTCTGCGGCCCGCCCGAGGTAGGTCGGCAGGATCGACGCGCCAGATCAGACTCCCAAGTCAGGTACCGGGCCAGAGCCGCCTGACAGACCCCGCTCATACAACCAAGGTAGCAAAATGCTGCGCATGCTGGCGTGCCTGCCCGTGGGCAAGCCCCTGCTCGCCACGCTGGCGCCCCAGTGCGGCTGGGCGCCATCTCGTCTGCGCCTGCAGCTGACGCATTCCGCAAAGGGAGGCAAATGCAAGGCTAAAGAGGCTTCTGGCAAGGTGACAGTTGCAGACGCTTGATGCTGTGAATGGTTGAAGAGGCAGCATACCTGCTCCGCAAGATATGCGCTACAGCAGCTGCCCAGTTTCATGCGTACGACTAGAAATCATTGTCCACTCAAACTATCCTGGCTGATGTGTCACTTTTTATCACACCCAACCTTCAAATGCCGACACACGCAGGGTCTGACCCCCTACCAGGGCCCTAACCGTATGTTTGGCTACTTCCATTGCTCAAAGTGCAAGTCAAGCTGGGAGAGCGGCAACAGCTGGGCGGACATGGGGCAGCAGTGCCGGCAATGCAAGGTCATCGTGTACCCCCACCGTCAAACGCCGCTTGAGAAGGCCGCGGACCACACCGACAACAACAATCGCACCTGCAGAACCTGTGCGAGAAGTGCCAGCAGCTGGGGTATTGCTGCAGGTACGATCCCAGCAAAGGTGGATTCAAGTTGATGTAGCAGGGGTGCAAAGGGAGATGCCGGCTACTGCATGCCAATATGCATGCAGTTGCACAGAGTGTCGTCAAGGGGCGACAAGCAGATGGAATGCACCATCTGCTTGGTAGACATTTGGGAGTTGAGCACGTGTGAGTGTATGTTGAATATGCTGGTAAATCAGTTGTTGTTGATCTTTCGCAAAGGTGGACTGTGGCACACCTTGCGCGGCTTGAATTGCCAGCAAGCAAACACCGCAACAGCCAGCCTCATCTTACTAATTCCATCGACAAACAAATAGATTTCATGAGCCCTGCCAGCATGCCGGGCCAGAGCCGCTGCTGCAGCAGCTGCTGCACCTGTGAACGTGTTGGCCAGCAACTGCTGGATCAGCAGCGGTGCGCGAGCCTCTGGGTCTTGCAGCAGCCGCCGCGTCGCGCTGTGATGCTGTGCAGCTGCTGGGCGCTCTGGGCGATGCTCTGTGAGGCATGATTGGGCATTGACAAGGGGCCGTGACTCAACGAGGGCCTCGCTCGCTGCCATGAGCGCACCAGATCCAATGGAAATTTGCAAATGCAACAAAGCTATGCGGTGCATTGCAACGAAGACAGAGCCTTTGATGGCCTGGACGGTGCATCAACACATTGAACGGTGAAGTTGTTACACACCGCATGCAAAACCGTGCCTTGACTGGTATGACCGAGCCGGCATACACAAGTGTGTGACATCAAGTCAAACATTGTGTGGATATCACACACTAGGAAATTCATGGCCTTTATTATGGGGGCCAGCTGCTCATGGCGGCTTGCTGACATGTAGCGTAGCGGGTGGACCCAGGGCAGGCACGTCAACACACTGCTGCGCAGATTTTTCTTCATCAAAGCTGAGGTCACGCCGCATTGCTGCCGGCATGCAGTTGGGTGGCTCGTGTGAGCCGTCATTTATGTCAGGTCCGCAGGGCTTCCTTGGGGTGGCAAAGGGCTTCAAAGGGCTTCAAAGCACGCGCGGCAAATCAAGCAGTGCGTCAAACCAAGGGGGTGAAACATGGCTATGCCATTCTCCTGCTGCCAACGCAGGGGTGGCTGGCAGCAGGAGGGACGTCGGCCGAGGCGGGCCTGGCACTGCCGGGGGCTCAGTCCTCTAGCACTCTGTCAAGGTCAAGTGGCTCAGTGCGTCTGTGTCAAAAGGCAGAGCGCGAATCCTAAAAATTGTTGTCTGTGCAGCTTCTGATGGTAGTCAAGCAAGACCGTATAAGAATTGAGATACCGCTCAGTAGGCGGTGCCGTGCACAGGGCAGGACCTCCATCCGATGTAGGTCAGAAGCGCGCGTCGCGTGTTGCACGGGAATTGGCAGCGCTCAGCGCCGCACCCGTGGCCTCGTCATCAGGTGTTGTCGTGGAGTCGCAGGGGACCAGCAAGGGTGGGAGATTAGGACAGGCTACGCAACCCCATGTGAATGGGGGAGGGAGGGCAGGCTTGCAGGGGCCGAGAACACCTCGCCACCCCCCTCCCCAACTAATGTGAAAGGGTGGTCAAGAATCGTGCGGCAGACGCCAAATTGTTGCAACGGCACGATCCCGCTCTCAGGGTGGTGGTCCATCAAACCACTGCAGTGCGTACATAGTGCGCATGAGATTCGTCACTTGGATAGCTGCGCCACCTCCACGGCTTCCAGGGCTGCGTGGGGGGCAATCAGGCAGGCGTGGACAGGGGGGGACCTGGTTCAATGGGGGCAAGGACGGTGCACGGCCTAGCGATGCGCCACCTAGGCATGGGAAGCAGCCACGTTCCGGGCGCACAGCCGCTCCTTCCTCGCTTGCACAAGAACCCAGGTCGTTGCAAACAGCCAGCCGCCAGCCCTCACCTGATGCGCCGCCCAGCGGCGCCTCCGCCGCCGCCCCCTCCCCCCTCTGCCGCCGCTCCGCCTGCCGCTGCTGCGCCAGCGCCGCGAGCTGCTTCTTGTTGCGGGCGTGGTGCAGCCGCTTCGGCGGCCTGCGGCCCTGGAGCGACTGGGCCCGCAGGGCCGGCGCGGGCTCTTGCTTGGCGCCAGCGGCCTGCTTGAAGCGGTTGCGCCACTCCTTGCGGCCGTACAGATCCTGGCGGTGCGGCGGTGCGGTACAGTGTGGTACGGTGAGGTGGGGCGGGGGGGTGGCTGTGAGTTTCATGATAGGTGACATCGTGGCGCGAGCGGCCATGAAGTGATCAGCAAGGCGTCGCACAATGTCGCAATTGAAATGGATGGAAGCCAGAGGCCGGGGCAACGGCAGGCCCGGCGTCCAGGCGCCGCGAGAGCGTGAGCGGGCACATCACGCAGGGGCCCGGGGAGGCCGGTCGGCCGCGGGGTCCTGGAAAGGGTCAGGAGGGGGCCGCACCGTGGGGTGGGCGGCCTTGCCGTGCTGCAGCCCTGCAGCCACGGCCGGCTTCTCCAGCGGCGGCGCCACAGTCTGGTACTCCAGGATCTCCGCGTCGTCCGCAGTTTGACCCTTCCTGGGGGAACACAGGGGTGCGTGCGTGTGAGGGCGCCCTGGTGGGGGCAAGCGAGGGGGCGGCGGGGGAGCGGCCCGAGACAAAAGACTGCGGCGGCACCCAATCAGCGCTGATCCCGCAGCAAAAACCCCACGCACGAACAGGCTCTGCCTAAAAACGCCTCCTTGCCCAGCCGTTCGCAGCATACTATGGCGTCGCAGTCGCAAGTGCTTGCGTCTGACGCCCGATTCTCCGCTCACTTGGGATCAAAGGTCTCGACGCGCAGCGAGAAGACCAGCGCCCCCGGCAGCGCCGGCTGGCCGGGCTGCAGCGGCCCCACTGCGGAGTCGCCCTGGGCGTCAAGCTCCCAGACCTCGCACCAGTTGCGGCGGTTGAGGAGGCGGTGCTTGCCTGGCGGCGGGGCGGCATGGGGTGGGTTGAATTCACTAGGGTGGCGTGCACACAGGAGAGGTGCGTGTGGCTCAGGCTGCAGGCAGAAATGATAAGCAAACCTCCATATCATCCACATAAACCGCACGAGCGTGCATGCACAGACGCAATCGTGTGCGTGCGCGTGCACATACTCTCTCTCTCCCTCCCTCCCTCTCCCTCTCTCTCTCTCACACACACACACACACACACACACACACACACACACCTTCAGCATCGAAGAGCTTGCACATCTTGTTCCTGGTGTACTTGTTGGTGAACCCCGCCCTGCCCAGCAGGTGCAGCACACCCACCAGGCCGTCGGGGGGCGGGGGGTTGGCGATGGCACTCGATACGATCTGGGGTCGTGTGAGGGAAGCAAGAGTAAAGCGTGCGTAGTAGATGGCAGGTGCTGTGATGTGCAACGAGGTTTGCTTCCGCACCAGCCTGCTGCATACAAGCCTGGGGTTGGGTGCAGATTGTGGTATGGGTGCCATCAAGCGCCGAGCATGTGCCAGGCCACCAGCTCCAATGCCAGGTCTGTCACCCGTGTCGTGTCACCTGCGGCATGAACCTGAAGTCGCGCGCCAGGTCATCGCGCTTGGGGTAGGAGTACAGGCGCCCCGTGGTGGCCAGGTGCACGTCGCCGCTGATGAGGCTCACGCGCAGCGTCTTGATCTTGGCCAGCATCTGGGGGGTAGGGGGGGCGGGGTGACGTCACGGGGGTGTGCAGGGCAAGGAGAGGGGGCGGCGCTAGGGGGGGCGACATCATTGTTGCAGACCTTGCTGAAAGGCGGAGGCAATAACTGCGCTGGCGCATGCAACAACCCACATCCTTTGTGTCTGCCAGACCCAACCGCTCCGTTGGCTGACCGCCCGCTGGGTGTCTTCTACTCACAAATAAGGCACATCCTCGCTAATTGCCTGCAGCCGCAGCCCTGGCACACACACCGTGCCTGCTCGGCCGCCCCCCGTGCACTAAAGCGGACATTCTGGCTGTGTGGCCCCCCCCACCTGCAGGTGCTCTATGAGGAAGCGGCGCTCATCATGGTGGGTGGGGGAGCTCCAGTGG